TACCTGTTTAGATCATGTGACCTTATGGGGTTTGAAAACAGATTTCCTTGTTTTCAACACTGTTTTCGTTTTCACTTCGGTCTCACGTTACCGAATTACAGTCCAGGGTCAAGCATCACATCGCAGAAATTCGGGAGATTGGTATTACCAACCGAAAAGGGGTGTCCGCATGATCTCTCACCCCTCCTAAGTGAATGGGCGTGTGTGGCTCTGCTCCGTTCATCAGGATATAGCTGTACATGTTGTGTGTTATGCGAATTTTTCTTAGTAACTATCTGAATATTCTGGAACATTTACCGAACTCTCAAACAGAGCCACTGAAAATTGCAGAGACCATTTTCTCAGAAGCAGTGCTCATTCAGGATGGATTTTTCGCAGAGCGGCAACAAGGTTCATGTTGTATGGACAGGACCCCTACAAGAGAAGTTCCCAGAAGTTCTGTAATGGACGAAAACAAACTTTGAAAAAAGCTTAAAATGATGCAGTGGGAACGAAATAAGATGTGGCCGAGGCATTGAGCTTACTGCGGCTGCTGGGCTTATTGAGATTGGAGCGCTTTACTATCGCACTCACCTAGCATTTTTAAAGGGTATGACATCATTTAGGAAAAATCTTTTGCGGGGCGGTAAGAGCGATTCATGTTCCATACGAATTGCCTACTGCGTTTTGCTTGTATCAAACTAACGAGTATGCCGTTTTTATTTTCATGTTTCGTGGAAATACGCGGCCTCCGAGGGATGTTGCAGAAGTGGCACAGTTGCTTTTAAGTTCTGACCCTCGTCATCATCTTCTGTTCTTATTTTGCAGCACCTCCAATGTTATCCGCATCAGGAAATTGCGTTTTACTTGTATTTGAAAGCGCAATTAAAGGACTTGGCAAAGTGCCAAGGAGCCGCACGCGACACGCGCGCTTACGACGGATGTTATGAAGGACGGGAATCTGCGCCGCAAAAGGTGTAAGGCGGAGCATGGAGGAATTAGCGTGTTTCACGGTCCTGTATCTCCATTCCTGGGCATGTTTGGGCGGGGGGACCACGACACATCGACAGCTGGGGGCTGATAGTCTCATACACCCTCAATGTGTGTGAGCGTACTATGTGTCTTTAATGCTATTTCAGTACCTTCCAGATGGGTGCTTCCGAGAGGTTACGAGTCGCACCTATCGCTTCACAGAGTGCTTTTCTGAAAGAATATATGTACAGGCTTCAAAATTTTAGGGTAATAACCAGTCGCATTATACGTCCAATGCCGACAGCTAAAAGAAACGCAACTGCACTACGTTTCTTCGCGGATGGAATCGTTATTTCATTCTGTTTCTTAGTTAATGAAAGAAGGGGTTGCTCTGACATCCGCTTGTAGGGGGGGGGGGGTTGAACCAGGAACAATTTTCCTCAGCGTGATGCTTCACCCTGCATGGATCGGCCACGCCTTTCTATTAAAACGACTCGATTTTCGTTAAGGTTGGTATCAAAAACAGTGACATCCTCGTTCCCCAACTTTTTAACCTCAGCTAGGCATCAGTTGTTTACAGACTGAGAGTTCAAGAGTTTTATTTCCTAACACGACCAGATGGCTTTTGATTTTCCTGTAGGCGGTATTTTATTTTGATCGAGGAAGTATAGGCATTCAAGACTCTTCGAAATCTCATATTTTGCAGGACCCATGAGCAAATCCTGAACGGCTAGTTCATATGACACCTGAATTGACATCACTCCAACGTACCTTACAGCAACGGATCAGTTTGATCATTCAGAAATGCAAAAAGGCGAAAAAAGTGAGTTGAAACCGTTATTTCGCAAAATCATCAGCCTCTGAAAAATACGTAAGAGATTTGCAATTAAAACTGAAACTAAAACTTTGGTACACGTCTTCTAACCAGCGCAAGTTCTGCCGCTGGGGAAATACTGGAACTACTTCTTCCTAAAAACCTCTCCTCTGATACGACCCCTCCCCACCTCCCCATCCTAGCTACCACTTCCGTAATTTCCTAGATTTTACCGATTTTCACAACTTCCTTCCGTTTTCTCCCCAAAATTCTCAAATCTTGCCTGCGAACGGTGGCGGGGAGGGGGAGGGTGGGGTGCTGAGCTCAGATATCTCTCAAAATTGAATACGCCCCCCCCCTCCTCCAGCGACCAAGTACGACCTCTCGCAGGGTATTCCGCTGGGTGCGACGTGCTCTGCTTTCAACACAGTCTTCCAATATTCCAATATTGCCTTCCAACAAATGATTTATTTTTTCCAGGTAAAACAACATCACTACATTAACAATACAATAAGCCATGTGTCACCCGTGAACCATAGTACGCACATAAGATAACAATAAAGCAGAGCGTCATGCAGCATACCTTTGGAAGACTAATCCTGTGTTCACTGAGAAAGCGAATGCACTGAACAAGGAGGATAATCGGTTTTGAGATCCGACAAACAACGGCTTTACAGGTGAGAAAACATCAAAACGCTTCGGAGCGCCTGTCTCAATTCGGTATGTTTGCTTCTGACAGTAAGTAAATTTTCCCTTCTCACATATTTAGGCTACATGAAAAGAAATGGTAGACTCAACCGTGGTCTACACCTTTTGCCCTGCCTTCAAGAGAAATCGACTTAGGTGTAGGTACACGCCCTCGGTCTGGTCTTGCCCCAACCATGCACGATTCTTAGAGACAGATGCTTTTGGTTCCCTATGAATTGGACTGTACAATCAGACAACGAAACGAATACTCATCAACATACATTGTCTCAAAGTAAAATGACAAAATTATCAATTAACCGTACTCGTGTGCAACTCAACCTAATTGAATCACATTATCACAATCGTTGATTTCCAGAGAATAAATCTATGCAAAGTTAATGCCGTTCTCTGCTCAAATAGTACCACCAGTAGAACACTGAAAAGGAAGAGAACCATTGTACGCGAAAATAACAGCACGTTTTCAAAACTGTCGAGGTATAGCTCTTCTCTTGGTCTGCCCATGTCGCCTACCTAGTCCAATCTCTTTTGCTAGATGCCTGTCAAGCTCTTCTTTCAGCCCTTTTATCTGTGCCGCATTCTATAATTATAACGATATAACGAATAACGATATAATTATAATTATAATCATAGTTCTCTTTTTCCAATTATTTCTATTTCCACGTTGTAACTATGCGAGCATCTTTGGAAAGCAATGCCCCATTAACCTAGCCCCTATGAACCCGTCGTGCAGAATTGGGGTGGACTACGGAGGGTTGGCGGACCTACTAAGATGGTATCCGGAGCCGAAGTTCCGCTAACGGTTTGCAGTGTTGGCCGGCCACTGCCCTGTTCCTGTTGTCCACCATCCCACCGCCCCTCCCCCTCTTACCTTCTATCTGTATGATGGCTTTTATTTTACTTTTCACAAGGCTGAGACCGGCATATAAGTTGCCTTTCTGTGCTACTAATCAGCGGGTGCCTTTTTCGTACAAATTTCGCGATTTCGAGTCGAAAATAATGGGTTCGACCGAGAAGTTTCTGGGATAGCCAACGCAGCGGCAAATGAGAGAAGAGCACCCGTCAAAAGGAACTCGAAAAAACCCTGATTGATTTCCAAGGTCGGACGATTGGCATATGATTACTTGGAAAGGTGAGCCGCTGGGTGAATGGGCAATAGTTCAGAGAACCTGGACGATAGAACACACACTGCCACAAGCCACTATTCTGTCCTGACGACGACCTTAATCATTGGTTCTATTTTTTCGAACACCAACACAGGATTTCAAATTTGAAAATGCCACGTTTCCAGTGCTGTTCAAAAAAAGCCTGACGGAGATGGGTTTGAAGCGGGGGGCGACGGCTTGTTCTAGGTTTTTTTGCTACTGTTTATACGTCCATCAAACATAATACTTTCATGACTAAGGGAATGAGGGAGATTTCTCTCACTGTCTCGCCTTTATAATATGGCCAACACAAACGCCCCATTTTTCATTGGTTGGGGATTTTAGTCGAGTCCGTACGACCCATCTCCTTTTTTTGGGGTTGGTACGACCCCCCCCCCCCCTCCCTGCCTCCGGCCCTCTGTCCCTCCTCATCGAATCGAGCCGTCGAGCGGGGGGGGGGCATAGTACGCATGAAACAGGAAAATCACGAAAAGTCAACCACCACTCCTAGAAGGCCAAAAAGTAAATACAACCCCCCTTCCATCAATAAGCTATTGCAACCCCCCCCCCTCTTTTTACAACGCCGTGAAGCGAGAAAAATCAACTATCAAAATAAATTTTTCTCAGCCCAAATACGACCCCCTCTCCTGGCGGCCAAATACGACCCCTATTGGGGATTCCCCAACGAACGATGTGCCCTGCACCGCACTGTGTGAAACAGGTGAAACATTGCTACATTGCAGTGACGTCACTATGTACATCCAGATTGTTGATGAAGATTTCTTATACAAATCGGAGAGCCAGGGATTGGATCACTAGCCGATCCCTGAGCTTCTACCGACGAAAAGCACTTCTGTTTCCTCGATGATGAGCTCTTCCCCATGGTTCGTCTCAGTGTCGCTTTGATGTATTTTCCTGCTATTCTAGCGGGAGTTGCAAGCAAGTGATGACTTCAAAATGGCAACTGGAGCTCATATGAAAAGATAGCCACTTCATGGCCATGAATTCTACAAGATACTTTCAGAAGCATGGAAAATAGGAATACATACTGGTGGAAACAACAACGATGAAGAACTCTTTTCGAGCCACGAAGCATATGTCCACTCAGCAGAGCACCTAGAGTCTGATTCGCTGCGAATGATGGGACGTGTCAGCGAGGCTGCGTTTGGCGCTGCGCCAACCCGTTCTTTCTTCCCTTTTTTTCGGCAGACGAAAACTGTTTTGCATCTTTGGTTTAGGGCGTTTTTCACCAGTAGCTGCGCTTCAAGAACTGGTGAAGAATGGGTCTGGCAGCGCGCCATACGCAGCCAGCCGCCCGGACTCGCTCCATCATCCGCAAGGAATCAGACTATAGCTATCACGCCATTCAGCTCCTCATAATCTCATCACCACTCACCATTGAAAGCAGCGAACATAGCTGGGAACGCTTTGGCGGCAATGGCATCCACTCTAGCGCCCATGTCTATGTCCGTATATGAAGGATAACCATTCTGATAATCCGACATGCCGTTCACGTAGCAACTTCCACCTCCGCTGAAAGTCGACGCTAATAGAGAAGCTCCTTTAACAGAATAGTCAGAACTCACTTCATGTGATACCAAGCCTCATCTCCGTTGTTATTAACGGGATACCGTACACCTCTCATCGATCCACCTGATTTTTGCCTGAAAACAGACGTAGAAAATGTTTAATTGTCTAAATCCTCTTACATATATATACTCTGCCTTCCTAAAAAAAGTGACTGAGGATTGGAGGGATTTGGTGATCCTAAATGATACGTGCAACGCGGGACAGTCTGGAGGGCAGTCAGGTAGCCTCATTTCAACACGATGTCATCCTAGTCCGCTACAACTGATGGGATATCTGCCCTAGCCGCGCTTCAAGCCCCGCCGCCGTCCTAAGCCTTATCGTTTTCAGGGATCATAACTACAAGTAAATGTAGATAGGTGGCCGCAGCTCAGCGACGAGAGGGCATTTTGCACTATCGCTACATCCCGCTGATGTGTCGAGCCGAAGTAGTGAGGACCTTGGGATACCAGTCGGAGTTTGTAGAGAACACTTGTCAACTCTTTCGAAGAATACTTTCAACTCGTGTTCAAATGCCATACAAAACCGTTTACCATGGTAGCTAGACGAGCATGCTCCAGCTTCACAAGAATTTTCAGGTTTCACTGGGGTGATTGTAATGATAAAGAGTGAAGCAGCGGATCTCCCTCCCCCCTGTCACCAGACCGTACGAGGTGTATAATAATACCAGAAAACCTTCGAAGTTTACCTTTTCAAAAGATTCTGAGATCGTTGGTATCGGAGCCTCTTAGATCTCCTTTTGATTTCTGACATTTTATCGACAAATCCCACAACGGCCAGTTCAACTAACGAGAAAAAAATGAACGCAACGCACACGAAAAACCATAAATCAATAGCCTGGAAGAGGATTATTCAAATACATACATGCGAAACTTCACACGTTTGCAGTACCTTTACAAAAGAGACACGTGGGAGGTTTTTGACAATGTTTCCGAACTGGAAGGTAAGAGCCATAAGTGATGAGACACCAAGAGTGATTCGAGCCGGTAATGCTCGGGTATCAATCCAAAAAGCGATCCATGAGATGAATACCGACAAGTATGTCGGCAAATACATCTGTAGCACGTAGTAGCCGTACAGCCGTTTGAACCTATAATAAAAGTCTTTGCAATGGAATTTCTTCGCAGTGGGAGAACATGAGGGGAGTTTAAACTGTGTGAAGTTGGCAACGTACCGAAAAGTGATTTTCAGAGGGATAATCTGCAAAATCTATGAAATAACACTTTTTGTTCACGAAAAAATAGTCCGTTATGAAAAAAAACCCGTTTCAACAATATTTAATGAACGGGCTCGTCAAAACGTTTTGGCCCGATATTCTTGCTCAATCATGATCTGGTGAATTGAGCAAGAGTCGGGCAGAAAGGCGTCGAGAAGATTTGGCTACTGACTGTGTTCTCATTGCTGGAAGTCCATGGAAGCATATGGAAAACGTTATCTTGTAAGCGGTCTGCTATACGAGGCCACTTCCCCAGAAGAGGCTATATTGGTGGCAAATCTTCGATGATATGACAACACTCCTAAGGATGATATATTCACGATCACTTAGTATTTCTACTCGTTCAGGGCCACTTGACCAGATCCTCAATCGTCCGGTGCGGCCAACATGCGCGACAAACGGAACGCTTCAAAAATCAGTAAATAATGATAACGGCCTGAAATAGAGGGAAAAGAATAACTCTTTTGACGCTGATCAGTCTCTTCTTGGGACGGCTACGCATTCAATTTCCATTGAAAATTTTGGCGACATTTTGGAAGCCACTTAGTTCAAACAATGTCCTGCGGTTTCCAGTCGATGCCACTAACGAAAAAAAAATTGCATCAGGATTAAAATGGCAGTTCCGATAAATTTGCTCAAAGAAATGTTTCTAGGGGGGTAGCCAAGAATAGAAAACAATAACGTTTATACAGGTAGAGCGAAGGTAGTGCAGTAGCGCGGCCACTTGCCAAGTGCGCGGTCGGGGACTGTATAACGGGTTGACTTCCGCCACAGCTAACCAGGCTTTCCACACCTTCGGGGCTAGTTAACTGCTACCAGGACATCTCAGAGGATGATGCCACAGCTTCTACAGCAGTTGCCCACCGCTCCATCCTGTTCCATTACCCAGACCAGTCAACATTGAGAAGCCACTGCGGTTCTAAGTGAAAGTTATATACACGCAGCGTCCTTGTTCGTCGAGCTTTTCTTATGCACTGAAGCTTAGCACCTTCTCCCGACCACTACGGTACTGAGACGAACCATGAGGCGACATGGTCGGGGTTATGGGTCAGTCGTAGCAGGCTCATCGAACATTAGATCACAGTCACAATTCTTCTCCAGTCTACGGATGGTAAGAGTGTAGTTTCCCGAAATTGCATTCTCTTCAGGAGTAAGTCTTTTAAACTAATTTATACCCTTTTGAAATCTTCTGACAAGGAGCAGTTACATGCCTATCAAGGACTTATGCGATAGAACCATCAAAAGGACATGTATATCTCAATGAACAAGAGGACGTTACTCCAATAATCTCTGGTTACTGAGTAGCTTACCTAAATGTGACCTTTAATTGATCCCACATTCCAGCTGTGTACTCGTTGACGACTTTACCCCATGTGACATTGTAGAACTGAAAATCCGGTAAACGAAAATCTTCCGATGGTGGCATGGTCACGGGCGCCCATTCTTGCCAGTTCAATCGTACCTGTGCAGAGAAATGGTTTACGCTGAAGTATAAGCATAAGAAGTAGCAAAGACTTAGAAGTCTGGTGTAGCCCTAGCCGTTCTCGCGACTTCAGGGAGAATCATTTAATGTGGGTATATGGAATGACCCCTAGGTTGGAAATCGCTGCTAAGAATCTAGCCTTCAGTATACTGTGCCAAGGTTCTTACCACTGCAACATCTGGCGCACAGTTATTTCACTTTGTTTATGGTGTGCTCTATGGGAACCTAACCTGTTTTTAAATTTCTCAAGCTATTTATAGGCGCCAAAGCTGCGAAAATAATTGAGAACGTGTTCCTTCGACGCTTGTAACCCGGGCGCCGAACGTTTTCCACATGGTGTTCTTGTTTAGGAAGGCAAAATGTTACGGGTACAGCTTTCTGGTCAATTGAGACGCTAGACGTTCCTTATTAGCCCACGGAACATAGTGTCGTTGCAAACTTCGACCTCCTACAGCGGGCGGGCCGGGGCGCTGTCTTCGTCATCGGCGAATAGCGTCGTTATCACGCGTTCTTGGGCAGCGAAAGTGGTACATCCTCAAAGTGCTTGCGCACTGGCCTACACTGACAAAGTGAGGCGTGAAAAAACGAACTCAACGCGAGTGGTGCCTCTGAGCTCAGAGTGTGAAGTGGTACGAAGTAGAACTTCAACAAGTAAAAGAGAAACGAAAACCTAAAAATCTGAATCAGTATTCATGAAGTGCCATACCTCTGCTATATTATACGAGTAGGACTCGAACACGAGTGTGCATTCCTGGGCGTCTATAGGGAACCGTGACAGTTCGAAACTGCATGGCGCCGAAACTTGCACTCGATAATTCAACCATACGGTACCTGAACGTTATGCTGTATATTAGAACTTAAATTAGATGGCTTGCAAGGCTTGCTCATATAGTAACCCTATATGGAGACCAATATTGCTGATTGAATTTCTCAACCGATTAATAACAAAATACATTTGAAAAGACTCTCACACGTATGGAAGTGCTCGTGCAGATAAGATAAGATAAGATCAGAGGTTGCGGACATGATGGTTCTATAGTGCGTTTCACCACTATACGCCCACCCTTGATTTTACCAACAACATTCTTCCAGTGATCCAGTTTCGTAGTGCACGCTTTTAGATTCTATGTACGAAAAAGGGAAAGCATAATTCCACAAAAACAAGTTTCTCTTCAGAATTCCTACAGGCTTCTTTTTAATCTCCTGTAAGTTCCCACGCTATACGTCCACCTCTGATATACGGCTCCAAAAATTTTCCTGTTTGAACCTAGTGATACATTCATGCCGCGTGGTCCCCGTCTGTCTACGGAAGTAAGCCCCAGATTCGGGCTCTCCACGAATCCGTACTCAGTAATCGGCGGACTGTCAAGGAAATCAGCTGAATTCACTTCGTCCGCTCCTAATTCAGAAATCCTAAGACCCGACGGTGTTGGAACCAACGACCGCCAACGAAAGTTGTCCGCCAGGGAAGAACGGCAAATTCAGAAAAAGCATTCAATAGCACCTTGAGAGTCAACCAAATTCGTGCAGAACTAAGTCTCTGTCCTGAAATGGAATCGACGGTCTGGAGGAGCTATTAAACGCAACAGCAACATAGTGAGAGAAGTTATGCAGAAGGCGCCACGACTTACTTGCGCTCACAAGTCGGCTCGTCTCGATTTTGCTAGGAAGAACATCACAACGGATTGAAGCAGGTGTGGTGATAAAAGCAAACGCTATCTCATATTGTAGGGCAATCATTAGAGAAACTTGTGTTCAGGTAATCTGAACATCAAGTTAAGAACATCAGAAAAAAAAATATGGATGGGTAAGACGGCGCTAGATGTTACTGGCGTGATTTGAGGAAAGATCCTATGCGGTTCAGCCGGCGTAACTTCGGTGGCGGTTCTCTTATGGTTTGGGGAGCCTACTGCTGGGACAGAAAGCTGGAACAAGCGCTCGTTTCCTGCCGCAATGGACTCGCGTGAATACAAGGAAGTTTCAAGTCCAACTATTTGCCGTTCCTTCACCGCTGGCGAAGAGGAAAACCGATTTTCCAGCAGGATAATGCAAGTGTCCACGCGAGCAAGGTCAACGTCGGAGTGGTTTCAGCAGCACAAAGTTGCGTTATGGAGTAGTCCGCGTGTAGCCCTGAACCTCACGGAGAACCTCTGGGGCATCATTGTTTGAATTGCTTATGAAAATTAGTAGACAGTTCGAAACCAACGAGCTGAGATGTGCAGTCATCGACGCGTGGAAGAACATTGACGCCTCAGTGCTCCAGAACCTATCAGCAAGCATGCCTCATCGACTCATGGAGCTGGCTTCCAAACAAGGAGCACCGATTGATTACTGATTTTGCTGTTGTTGTCTTGTTGAAATTACAAATGATCTGTTAATTAGAGTGGTTGAAACGGCCGAAAACCGGTTGATTTCCTGTAAAAAATTCCTCAGGGAACGAAACACGTTTTTCAACGTTTTTTATACAACGAGTCTCAGAGTGCACACGAAAATGCGCACCATCGCTTCAACGTTTTCAGTAAATTGATGGGTGGACTTATATTGGTGAAACGCACTGTACTGATCGCATAAAACAAGTATGCCTAGTAGAAAAATGTACCGCGCTTTCAAGCTGCACTATGTGCCCCTTTTTCTAACAAACGAAGCTGCTGGAAAGTGTGGGAATTCTGCTGGTGCTACGCTAAACAGGTTCCCCCACCCGTGCTCCTCCCCTTTCCCCCACACGCCCCAGCATCCACAGCAAACAAGAGCGTCGTAGATTGCTGGGCTCCATATAGGCCTGAATAAGAAATCGCCATTAAGAGTCAAACGTGCCAATTAGCCTGCCAGCAACGAAAAATGTGCTTGGTCGGAGGATCTAACGAATGGTGCTAGCGGATTAGGCGCTTCAATGAATTCGGACTATCTGATATGATATCTTATCCGATTATATGTCCTCTTATTGAGGCCTCGCTCTCGGGCATAAGGTTTGGATATTGTCGATTGTTGAAGTTGTTTCAAAATGACAAAATACTGCGGTACAGGCGAAAAGTCATAACTGTCATCTGTGTTCGTAAAGTGAGACAACTTGGAGGTTCCCTAAAGGTAAGAGGTGCGTGAAATAGTAGCAAGGGTGGTGTATAAGAAAGCAGCTCCGGACGAGTTTCCCATTGGCATTCTGCCAGCAACCGTTACGGTAGATACGGTTGAATGCATGTACAGATACATCTGAACAGCACCGTAGCCCTTCATACGGGTCATATTGTACTTCGAAAATGGAGCGATAAGAGCAAGCATCGGTCGGACCTTTGCGTGGGGGAGGGGGCGGCACGGTAGGTATCTGAGTCGGTATGCTGCAGCTTTATAGAGCGTTAGGGTTGCCTTCCTTAGAAATGGCACCACGCAGCGCCTGCAAAGACCCCGAAATCCGTTCTGTGTTTATCCTACACGACTTAGGGATGGTTCTTAATGGTTAGCCCCAAGCGCATCCTCCTCTCAATGTCGAGCCACTCCTTTCGCACAAAGTTGATTTTGCGGACCAGTATACTTTACTAGCATGAAGGTTGATCCACACGAAGATTCGTGGTACTTGTCCTCAAAGGAGAACCCTTTTATTGTGCTACTTTCCGAGTATTCCAATCAAAATGCCCATCAGTGCATAGCTTGGCTGTGCTTCAAAACAGAAGGAGATCTTATTCGAGGGATACGCGCATTCAACCAGGCGATGTACTTCATGAAGACGTTCATCAAGCTCAGTGAGTGTTCTGCAGGGAAATCTAGGTCCGCTGAGAGCGGGGCGGTCTAGAACGGGGTTAGAACGAACCCGAATCCGGGACGTTTCCACCACTGCTTGTTTTCTTCATGAATCAATCACTGACCAATCAACACTGAGCGAGGCGTAAAGGAAGGCGGTGGGAGCAGGGCACGCCATCGTTGTGATGATTGCTACGGGAGGGGGGGGGGTCGTATTTGACCGCGAGGAAGGGGGAGGTCGTATTTGGTCTGAGTAAACTATTTTTTGATAGCTGATTTCTCTTGTTGGGGTCGTATTTGGTTGGCAGAGGGACTGCCAAAGATCTATACAACTCCTATTTCCGAAGCTTAAGAATGTTTTTCAAATCCACGACTCCCCCTCCCTGAAAATTCACGGCTGAAAAAACTGGAAATTTCTCGGGAAATAATGAAAAGTGTTAGGAATTTGGGAAAATCCAGAAAGATGGTAGGTAGCGTGGGGAGGGGGCGGGGATTTGAAAATGGAATTGGGGTGGTCGTACTTATCAGGACAGGAAATGATCACAACGCGACGAGTTTGAGGCATCCCGTATTCCTCACATAGACTTATTGCAATCAACAAGCTACATTTTTGACTAAATTCTACCACAACTATGTGTTCGAATTTGGGGGCTACTTCCTCCCCTGTAAAACTTTTGAGCGGGAGGTTGCAGTGGTGTACATATGTATTATATGTGAAGTCTAGACGAGCACTGCTATTAGGTTGTCCGGAAAGTTCTCAGCGTTTTGGGTGTTTCACTTTAAACGATCGTAACTTTTTTAATACTCATCGGATTTAATCGAAATAGGCACCATTCGAATCAGCACACTTTTGCCAATGTGACAGTGGTCGAGAAATCCCATCAAAGTAAAAAAAAACTGGGTGGTCGAAAATTCACGAAATCCACTAAGGCAAATGTTAGAAAAGGTCGGTTGGCGAAAGGTCTGAAGAATATGGCGGTTGAGGTAGAACTTCAACCCCCAATTCGTTCAATTTATGGATAGTGATTTGTGAAACGTGTGGGCGGGCGTTGTCATGCAAAGGAATCGGACCCTTTCTTTTGATAAGTGTTGGCTGCATCTGACAAAATTTTCGGTACAATTCGTCGATTTCTTCACAGTAGGGTTCTGCTGTGATGGTTTGGCCTGGTGATAAAAAGTTATAGTGGATCACACCAGCCGATGACCACCAAGCCGTGACCAGAATCTTTTTTTCGTGAGGGTTCGGCTTTGAAAATTACCTCGGTGGTTCGTCGAAATCCAACCACTGTCCGGAACGTCTCCTGTTATCATACATGACCCATTTTTCATCACAGGTGACAATTCGGCCCAAAAACAGGTCGTTTCTGCTGCGCAAAAGCAATGCAGAAGGAACCTCGAGACGTGCCGATTCCTGCCGGTCACTCCGATTGTGGGGCACCCAATTGTCGAGTTTTTTCACCTTCCCAATGCGTTCCAGACCATCTGCAACAGTGGATTTGCCAAGCCTAGCTCTTCTGCTATCTCTCGAACTGTTTGGGATGGGTCAGCCTCCAAAATCCCCCTAAAATCCTCGTCAGATATTGCTTTAGGTCGACCGCTATGAGGTTCATCTTCAAGGCTGAAATCTCCAGAACGAAATTTGTTGAGCCATTGCCGCACAGTGCTTTCTCTAGCACTATTGGGCCCCCACACCTGGTTAATTTGTTGAGCTGTTTCGATTGCGGATTGCCCCAATTTATAGTCGAAGAAAAAAATTGCTCTTTTCACATGCTTGAAAAAATCTTGAAAAAAGGGGGTTTATCAAGCAATGGTGAAACGGCAATACCATCAGATAGCGCAAGAAATTCTCTACAGGATGTGCTACTGAGAAGCAAGGCAGAATGAGTTTTTAATCAGCAGTGAATGTACAAAAAATAGGTGCACAAAACGCTGAGAACTTTCCGGACAACCTAATAATAATAGAACTGAACAGACAGAGCCCTAATACATTGCATTTAGAGAAAATCGCACGCCATCCGACATTATTTTGCAAGCAAGCCCTTCGTCTTAATTTTTTGAAGCGAAATTCTTCCCATTATATCTTTGAAATCTTACCATTGGGGTATATGATGAGCAATATATTTGAAGCTGGTGAGCGATGAACTTGAGTACTTTTACTGTTCACGAAACAGACATTCGGTGTCCATAAACGTTCGCTAACGTAACTGTCCAGTGAAAGATTCGATTTACAGGAAATATTCCTGGAAAATATTATTTGAAAATATTCTTTTATTGCGAATGTCACATAAAGCACGCATGGTCTACGTTATTAGTTTTGATACATTCAAAGCACGAAGTTGTGCTAGCGTATCCAGCTAAAAAAAGGCTAACAGTGGTGCTGGTACAAACATTGGTGCACTTCGTACTCTATTCTCAATTTAGTTGGAAAGCAGTAAATTCTTTGTAAAGAGGTAGGCTGGAGGCGGGATTGACGACAGGAGGTCGCAGTGAACACTCAACCAAAACGACCAGGGTGTGAAACACATGAGAGGGGGGGGGAGACGACGCGCTTGGCCGCTGCGGAAGGGATGGGGTCGTATGTGCCTTTGAAATGAAATTCGCCACATGGAAAAATATTTTTCCCGGTTCTTGACTTTTGGCGGTTTTTCCCGTTTGCATTGGTTACATCCTCCCGCTCGATGGAAAAATTTCCTGGGTGAGAATTGAGAAACGTTGAAAACTCAGGAAAAGCTGGTAGGAATTGTTGGGAGTGTGTTGGGGAGGGGTCGTAAGGCACCACCATTTCCACAAATTACGATGCTGTACCTTATACAGTCCTCATCATTGCGGACCGGTGGGGCGTGTCTGAGTGTGCACACTGTTGAAGCCGTTCTCAGCCTTTTGTTGAAACGCGTATGCGACAAAAAGTGGTAGAAAACGAGTAATACGGAGGATATAATACAGTCATATCATTTGCTCGCTTTAAATACTGGTGGAGAGCGGGCACCGCGCCAAACGCAGCCGCACTGAACCGCCCCGACAGTACGTAATGATGAGGACTGTATGTGACTGCTTCATTTTCGTCACGCTTCCGAACCAAAGTACTCAAAACACACTGAATGGGGTGTAAATCCGCACTAAGGTGGACAAGGGATGGCTGTTCGAAAGCACGAGTGATTCGGAAACATGGGTGGATCTTACGTAGAAACTCAGAATCCAAAATTGAACGTTAAGGCGGGAATAAGGAGCCTACACTGGAAAGTGAACAAGAGGAGAGAATTGGTGAACCGAGAGATCTAGTATGAGCAGTCTATAGAATCCCGAGACGCACCTGGTGTGGCGTAGCTCTCACGTTATGGCGTACTTAAGGGTATGTGTGAGGGAGAGGTAGGGAAAGGGGGAAATAGGAGCACGTAGTCCCCCGGCATTTGAGAAGGTTTACAACTAGGTCTGGACTAAAATGGATAAGGAAAAGCTTTTGACCTATATTGCAATCGTGGATCCTCCCATACTTGACTAAACCATACATCGGCAACGAACGAGCTGGATATTTCTGATATTGAAGAGATGTCCTGGAATGAGTCATTGCTTCGATTTTTCTTATATAGTCACGCTATAAATTTAATGCAAAATAATACCTGAACGGTCAACTCCACATTGACTTGAACCGAGTTATTTGACGGCACCATAGTTTTATCGTAGTCTTCAAGCAGATCCTAAAAATAATCTTCCGTGCCCGGGTTCCTCTGCGATGTTGATCCTACTAAAGCGAATACCAGTTTTTCAATGGGAATCTTTTTAGGAACCACTAGGCAATCTCTAAGCAACATATACACGCAGTCATTATCCTCAAAAACAGGAAGGTGTGTGAGGGGGGGGGGGCGTAGAAGCCGTAGTCACTAGGGTGAGGGCAGTTATCAAAGTGTTGCTCACTCTTTCGGATTCCCAAAGAAAATGTAGCTTTTGCCACTAATCTTATTTCACTGCTTCAGATTACCAGTCCACATTTTGATCGAAAATGTTCAAGGTTTGACCGATACCTGTTCCCTTTGAAAAATTTACCCAAATTATTTTTTGTAGACGTGAAGCGCACCCGTACAAATTTCGTCCTGGGTTCGTGCCACGGGTGCAGGCACCTAAGACAGTCTCGGCTCAACCGCCCTTAACGCAGGTACCAGACGCTTCCACGCAAAATGTGAGCATCGTTTATGTTTAGTGTACGAAATACTCCTTTGAACATTTCCTCAACACCGATAGCGCACTCGCCCGCAATGCCGAGATGCGGGTTCGACTCCCGCCTAGAGTTCGACCTTTGCCCATAACTCAGCACCCTTGTAATTTCTCCGGAAGATTTGGTGTCACTACGTTTTTTTTCTCATGTGGCGTGGACGTTAGGTAGTTTTGCACGAGCGAACACTATGCTCGTCTTCAGGGAATCAAGCCAGTCTAATGGACAAATTATTCCTAATTCTAGCCGTAAAGGAAATACAGTAAAAATCGACCCGGACTCTGAGCGATTGGAGAAGTCTCCCGGTGGTGGGATTAGATATGGGCTGAGAGATGTGTAATAGAAGCGTTGTGGTGTAGTCATTGTTTTTGTCGCGACGTAATACGATTACTGCCCAACAACGTCATCGGTACAACGTCACAGCACCGGAATAATTCGAACATCTAGGCCTGTTCCTCCTTCTTGCTGACGTTGGAAAAGTCGCTTCTTTCATCAAGCTGGAAGTTTTTACCGGGTGAAACACATACACAGTCACTTCCGATCATTTTTCATTCCCATTTTCCTAGAGATAACAAAGAGAAGCACCTCTATGCTCTCTTGCAATCCCCTTTGGCTCTCGCTAGCGGGCAAGCGATAAAGCGGTGGGCGGTGACCAATCCTTGTGATATGACCTCAGCTTACAGAATCAACGACACTTCAAATGTGTTTTGATCTTTCCCCAAATAACAGTAACAAAGTAGTAACAGTTTTCGAATAACAGTAAGTTAGAAAACAAGTTACAGCTATCAGTGTTTCAGAGTTGGGGGGGGATCGCCTGCAGTGCCCAAGTCCAAAGTTACATACAGCTGGTAACATTGCGATCAGTCGGGTCGAATTGCGGGTGGGGGGGAGGGGGTTAGAACGAACCGGTTACGTGATAACGAAATTTTTGGTGTGGGTCCTGCTGCGAAAGGCCAGAGCGCCGAGAATAAAGAGCCACTGCTGCCGAGGCATTGAGAGGTACAAAAAAATATTAAGATGAGCTTTTCCAGAGGGCGGGTACTCAAGGACGGATGAGCTGCTTACTACGCGTGAAAAAAATAGAATGTGAAAGGTCAGGATGGTCAAGACGGTCACGCAGACGTGAGAGCTCTGAGAAAAACAGGAAGTTGGCCCATTAAAAGGATTAAGTTTATTTGTCCGTAGAGCGAGTAACCCACCTGCGGCCGGGCCACCACTGGTCAATTTCTTCATGAAACGATCACTAACCGATCAGAAGTTGTGCTCATTCCCCCCTTCCCGACGACACTCCGACTACTCGTGACGATATCATGTAAATGTAGCAATTTTTGTGGAGCGGTCAGCTTTATTACCGACTGGACTTGTCATGATCACTAGAGAACCACTTGAGAACTCACCCTTAATATACTTTTTCGTTGGTTTGCGTTATACTCACAAGACGGCTCGGCAAATATGGCCTTTCCCGATATCACCAGCATGAAGAGTAGATCATGCAGCATGTCATGCGCACTGAAGATACCTGCAAAAAGGCAGAAGTTGGTAAGAGATTACGGTGAACCTGCAATCCACCCTCGCAAGACACGAAAAATCATCAGCGAGGCACGAACTGAGCGTAGACAACTGTAAGAAGCAAAGAACGCTAGACAGTGGCGGTCCACCCCTATTCAAGGAGCAGGTATTCAGAAAGGCGTATGAACAAGGATTTTCATTCAAGCGAATGAATCACACGAAAAAGATGTCGCTGGTGACTCAATTAAGAGAACTTACAATGAATGTACTGTACGATGTACAATGGAGGAGTGATCAAGGATATAACCAGAGCCGTGTAGAGAGTTTTCAAAAGGTGAACAAACGGAACTCAACCAAAACACAATAAGAAAATAGTAAGAAACTGCAATACAGGTCACGGCAAGGACGTATTTCCTTCAACGGGGCTCACAAGAAAGGGCAGGAAAAACAAAGGTGTTGTCAGCATAGAGAATGGCGATCAAACGTCTGCTCCAAAAAAGCTGGGATAGCGCATATCTGGTACGGAGGAAATCACCTCAACAGTGGAAATTTTCGCCACTGGAATACCCCCTTCCTTCTCGTGCGAAACAGCAGGGAGTGCCCATGTGGTACTTCTCGGAGGGAGACCTTAGAAAAAAATTTTCTGAGACACATTACAGGCAGGCCCAGTTTTTGAAGGAGGCGTTTATAAACCAATTGGAAAATGCTGAGAAAAATAATCTTTCATCCAGCACGAAGAGGTTTTCTAATTGAAGCTTCTTTCCTCCCCTTCCCGGCTTTTGGCGAATGTTCATTTCCCTTTGACATAACTTGTGGCCTCTTTGAACTATGCGTCCCCAATCCAACATAGACAAAAAGGATTCGCGAGTAAAAGAAGCCCGATCGGTGGCAAAATCAACCAGCTCTCTCCTTCCCCCTTCGCGCTATCCCACTCTGAGAGATCTACCCCTATTCGCCTTTTTGAAGGAGAAACATAAGCAGTTCCCGTGTAGACCAATGGACTAATGGACGAGTGCAGGTGAAAGTAGCAGCATGGGCTTTGGGTTACATCAGGTTATGAATGTTATGAAGAGAACGCTTGAAATGCGAGATGGGCTCAGGCAGTACTGACCGCTTCAAAGTCAACATTGATGGTGAAAGGGAGATGGCGTGGGAAGAGCTGTAGCATGCATTCTCGTTCTTTTCTCCTTTTCATTTCTAGGTAATTGAACTCAAGTGTTCTAATGCTCATTGAACCGGGCAAAGATACACCAGCATGGGACGAGCATCGCTAACGGCTATAGGACTTACTTGCATTACAAGTTCAAGAACCGTGCTCTTCGATGAGCATGGTTCTTGAATTTGTAGTACAATACCAGGGTCATTGGCTATTGTTTTCGTTGAAGTTAATAGAGTTATCTTTCAACTCTTTTTGCATTGCACTACAATCTTGGGAGTCTCATGCGCAGAGCATTTCCAAGAAAGTGTTTTAGGAATGAAGGTTAGTTCCACGAACCAGCCACGTGGCTGTTAACTCAAAACAGCAAAAGAGAAAATGAACGCAATTGGTGTGGCAGGAAATAAAGTCACACTGTGACAGAAGTATTAGTCAAGGTCAAATCAGTACTAAGAGAAGTCACTTCACCCCCAAGACCACGCCCACACCGCAAATCCTGCCACAAATTAGAACGAGGAGCAACAGAGTCTTCTTCTTCTTCTGGTGCAAAGGGAGTACAGAGAAGTTCAGTTCGCGGTGACCTTAGGGTGGCCGGAAATATATCCGAATAAGTCAGCACAATTTCCCAAAATACCAACGAAACTAACTGAATTCTAGGTACAACATAATGCAATTTCTGGATACGAAATCCTTGCTAGGGTTTCTGATTGGTCTTTATTTTGAGCAAAATTGTAGCGAAAAAGAGCTAGGCCACAAAAAATTCGACCATCGTTTCTGTACTGTTCCAGACACAGCGCGTTTTTTTCCATTTTCACAAAAATTCGCGGAGAAGGATGTTGTGATATGCTGTTACTTACACCGTACACTCCTCGTACCTGAGGCGGAGTAGGCGTGTTATTTGAAGATGGCATATGGTCGGTGACTCGCGGGATTTTTGAGAGGCAACTGTGATCAGGGTAAGCATCGTAGCGTGAAACACATAGGGGGTCGTATTTTTCCGCTTGGAGGGGGATCGTATTTGGTCGTTGCCGGGACAGAGAGAGTCATATGTATGCGGGTTTGAGAAAAGTTTGCCGAGCTGAGAAATAATTTCTTCCGGTGGTTGATGTGATTTTTCGTGTTATATGTGTACTATATACCTCGCTGCCCCCTTACCGACGGAAAATCCTTGGGTGAAAACTGGAAAATGGGGGAATTTTCGTTGGGCATAGGGGGAGGTCGTACTGAGACCCTCTCCAAGGTGGGTAATCACACCGAGACCCTCTTTTTGGGTGAGGATCGTAGCGGACCCTCCTTCGAGAGGGTGGAGGGGGGGGTGGTCGTACTGACACCACCATTTCACACATCACGATGCTGTACCCTGACTGTTATCTTTTTATGCGCTACAGAGACATGCCCACAACTATCCCAAAACGAAAATGTCTCACGAAAAACTTGGTGTGAGGAAGGGTATTGTCAAGTGAGAAGGAGATATCTCTGGACAGTGAGCAGCAATGCTGAACTCCTTCAGTGAAAACAGCAAGGCCGTCCCCATATTTCCCAATTGAAGCCTCTGTGGCTGCTGCAGAATGCTTTCATTTAGCAAGGGGTGTTTCACCGCCTCTGCAAAAACCATCCTGCAAGATGCTGTGGAAATCCGCGACTGCTTAAATGAGGTCTTATTTACATAGATTTTGTTGCGAAGGCCAGTGCAATAAGAAGGAAAGGATCTGGGACAATCGAAATTCCCTGGTATTCACAATCGAGGAGACCGGGAATTGAATTTGTTTCACTGATGAGAGAGTGACAATTCTTCTCCTATTGTATCGAAGCGTTTGTCTCACTCGTTGACTGGATGAAGTCCGGATATAGAGCCAGAGAGGTGCACTAAACAGGGCGTCCTGCCGCTGGGGAAACATTAAGAGAATACGACTCTCCCCCACTTTCGTCCTTTGTTACCCCCCACCCCCTCCCCCTCCCTACCCTGTACTTTACCTCCACGTTCCCGAAGCATAAGTTTCTCAAACTTTGCCAGTTTTTCCCCAAACTTCCGCTGTCGAGCGGGAAAAAGAGGGGGGGGAAGAGAGATGGGGAAGTAGAAACGAAAAAATCGCGAGAAGTTAGCCACGGAACATCTCTTTTTTCTGCAACGCGGCAAACCTGTATCGAAGGCGAATATGACCCTTCTCTCCCAAGGACGAATAAGCTCCTCCTCTATTGAACATCTCTCCAACGATGTGAATAACGCCCATGAAACAGGCAAAATCAACAATCGAGAACTTTTTTTCAGGCCAAATACAACTGTCCTCTCCCTCCAGCTACAGAATGCGACCATTTGTTAGGGATTTGTCAAAGTTTGCGTGCCTTAGTACCAAACCACCGGCAACCAAGCATTTCTCTCAGACTACAGAAAAGTTTTCAGAACTGTGTAAGTGTTCTAGTGCAGTTCGGCTTGGCAGAGCTATGGTAAACTGCGGCAGAGGTACTGATCCACGAGCAAAGCAAATGCTTAAGCATTTTTGCGAGAATCTGTTGAAATACACACTTCGGACATGCTTCACTCTCGGCTCGAGCAGAATTCCCCATTCTTCCTTCTCGTGAATAGCAGTCCTTTTTTCAGTGCTTTCCTGTTTCAGCTATTTGACATAGGAAAAAAAAATGAAGCAGTCTGCGAATGAGGCCCAGCACCATTCCGTCTGTGCCATTTTTCATTTTATCTCACATGTGCCTCCCCGCGCTCTGTCTCTTTTCTCATTCCGAGCTTTCCTTTCCCAATGCGCTGCGGTTTTCAGGCGAAACTGTGGATATGGTAACGAACACTCTCCCATGGTCCAAACCGTTTAGGTCACATTGCGTATTACTTATAGATTAGGAGATCTGCAAAGTGTAGAATACGAAGACCTATAGCCCCCATTTATGTACCTGTTGGGAAGAGCCGAACAGCGGAGTTTGCTTTCATCAGAGACGCGGAAACTCCAACCTAGTGAGGAGAGTTTTGAAATTTGAAGGACCTGGACAATACTTACCGGGCAGGCAAGAAACGATGAGAACGAAGTAACATTGGTTCCAAGAAAAGAACTGGAAACATATGTACGTGTGTATGCTTCTTTTTGGTATCACAAAGAGATGGCGGTAAATCTTAATAAGGCTCATAAAAATTGGCACATGCAGGATAAACCCGGAGAGCATCAAGTTATTCAGCAATTGCCCATAATTTGAGCCTTAAAAGAGGCGTGTTCGATGGAAGGGAGAAGCATCTTAGTAAGAAGTCGTCAACGTGCCGTATTCTCTACCAATGCTTTTCGATTTCGATCTCCCTTATGGTCGGAGGAAAGTCAGAAATAAATCAGCGTGGATGCGAACGATTACGGACGTAGATAGAGTAGCAGCTGGGAGGCACAACCCTGCACTCCAACTCTTAACACCAACCAGTTCAAACACATCATTCATCAGGAGCCACTTCCAAACTTCAGTCAAGAGGTTTCCTCGGTAACCGGGCTCACCGGTTATTGCATGGGTCAAATATGCAGTGAATGGATGCCATCAAGTTTAACCGCCGCCCTTAACACTGTCTGTGAGAATAACTACTCTGAGTAAAATAAAGCACTGAGCACAGTAAAATATTAAAGGATAAAACATCTGGGAATGAGCATTGCCCTTCGGGTCGCGATACGCATTAGACTCTAGCCAGGATCATGAGCTTTTGAATGGGTTTTCATCCTGCTAGGCAAATCTGGTTCCAACTAACAGACTCCATGGGGTGAAAGGTTTGGATGCTGCGGGATGGAGTGGGTTCAAGGTTTCGCTCATCGAATGGCTGCACTCATCACTACAGTACCTCGATGCGCACTTGGG